CACTGAGCCATCTCCCGGGCCCCAAACACAGGAGAATAAGAGGTATACAACAGTAGTCTTTCAGTTATTCTTTTGCGTTCAGCAGCAAAGTATTTAAAAGACATGGTATATCTTTTCCTACTATTAGAAACTTTAAAAAGTATATTTCCTTTTTCCATCGACTTTATATTACTTCTTTCCTGTCTTTTATACACACATACACACACATATATATGAAAAAAAAAATACGTGTATCACCCAACGTAAGATTTGTACTGTTTCATAGAAATCTGCAATGACCTTCTAATATATTTTTATATAGTCCTGCATAACTATCATATTGAGAGCTCTTTATTTTATTTTTTAAATTTTTTTATTTACAAACATAAATGAATATAACAATAAAAATTGTCCAAAATAAAAATGAAGAAAGAATTTACAGATCAGTCATAATAGTTCACTGTGTCAAAACCAAGAAACTTATATTCATAGAATTAGAAATTCTCAAAGTAGGCAATAAATATTTAAAGATTTAAAATTTCTGAATTTAGTTCAACTTATAATGCATACTGCAACTTCTCTTGCCGTTTGAATTATGCTCTTTGTTATTTCCTATATGCTATTTCTGGAGGTATTAAAATATTTCAAGTTTGTATAACTAGAAAAACTTATTTTTAATTTTCAAAGGTATGTTTGCTAAGAATAAAATTTAAAGAGGACAGATCTTTTCTTTCAGTCCTTTAATTAGTCTCGATTCTTACACACTTGGTCCTTTTTTTTTTCTTTCTAATGTGAAATAAGGTACTATTTAATTTTGTTCTTCCATAGCTAGTATTTTTTATGTATATGCTTTAATGATTTTTTTCTTTAAAATAACTTTTGGACAATTTCACTTTTGTGTATCTTGATATGATTTTATTTAAATTTCTTGTGCAAAGGGTTCATTTTTCTTGGAAATGTATTATGAGTTGAACTAAATTCAGAAATTTTAAATCTTTAAATATTTATTGCCGGGCTGGTGAGATGGCTCAGTGGTCTAAAGCACCTACTTAGAACAAGCCTAGCAAAGCACGGGACCGCGGTTCAATCCCCCAGCACCACATGCCAGCCAGCCCCGCCCCCAGGCAATCTATTAAAAAATTAAAATAAATGTGCAACAAGTAAAAACCCTGTTAATTTGAGGAACAGATTTGATGATAAAAATAGATAATATAACAACCTTTGTTAATTAGCTATTCCTGTTTTGAAAATCTGTAACATATGTATTGTATGTTACCGTTTTTGTCTTTTTTTGGTTTGTTTTTGCTTCTGTTTTTGACTCTTCAAAATAAAATAAAACTGAATTTTAAAAAAGATTAAATAAATAATGGAAGAATTAAAAAAAAAAAAGCAGGCTTCATCTGTCCCTCACACACATAAGCTAAAAGGTAGTTTGATATAATATTTTGAGTGCACCTGTATTTTTACTATGACCTATCATGTGAGGTCAAGCGTGACGCTTTGTGCTTTTGACGTTAAGACCGTGTTCAGATACTTTCAGGTTTTGGAGCATGTTGGGTTTTTAGATTAGGGACACTCAACCTGTGTTTTTTTGAACCAGAGAATTTCTAAATTTTTCTGAGGCAACGTGTAAGAGAACAACTGAGGTTATTCGTTCTCGGAGGCGCTGCCTGAGGTGGCTTCCTCCTCTGCCTCATCCCAGCCTTCATCTTGTAGCTTTGGGGTCCGGGTCTTTCAGTTCTCCTTTTATTTGTCCGTCCTTCCTTCCTTCCTTCCTTCCTTCCTTCCTTCCTTCCTTCCTTCCTTCCTTCCTTCCCAGGAAGAACCAGGTTTTGTCTCTTGTTTTCTTGGTTCAGAAACTCCAGGCTGTGTTTGTTTCTAAATTGCGCATTACCCCAGTGCGGCAGAACAGAGCAGGCAGTGGAGCACCCTGCTTCAGCTCCCTCGTGGACTCCGCAGCTTCAGCAGACGCTTGGGGCTCAGGACGCCTTGCTGTTTCCCAGAAGGGTTAGTGGAAGCCGGAGTCCTGGTATAGACAACTTTTCCATCCAGCCTTCCTTAGGACCTAGCTCTGGAGAAGACAAAAACCTCCTAAAATTGAGAGCTTTATAGCCTCTGCTACTACACCAATCTGCAGTCTTAAAGGAAATACCTCATCAGGTATTGACGGGGGTAGGCCATCTGTCCAAAGGCGAGTCTTTTCTAAAAGCCAGTGAGAGGCTTTCCATTCTCAAGTTAGTATTGTATGAGACATATGCCACTTAGTAGGTAGAAATGTTTCCAGTTAGATTGTATTCCTTATTTTAATGTACCTGGGTCAGAGGCATGATCCTTTAAAAAGGGGATTCTCACAAATAAAATGGCAGCAATTGAAAATATATTGGAGTAAAACATAATCGCATTTTAAGACACCTTTCTGTAAGTAGTTTAAAGGTCTTAAGGTCCAAGTTCATCGCCTCTTTAAAACTAGCTGAGATCATTTAAGCTTTAGTGTTCATACGTGTATTTCAGGGCATAGATAATGTCTTAACTGTAGATTTTGTCAACCACAAGGGCAGGACCTGCTGACAGAAGACGCCCAGCAAGCACCTGATGCAGATGTGCGTATTTTGCTCTGGGCCCCTTTCTGAGTGTTGCTGTTCCGCTGGAGTCTTTGGGTCTGCCACGTGGGAACTTTTCCTAGCCTGTGTCCAGGCTTCTTAGTTGTTTTAGTTGCTGCTGACTCTTGCAGACCTATACTGTAAAGAGCTAGCTAAAAGCATACCTGTCCCCGTAGGCTCATCCTCACACCTGGTCCCTGTTGTCCCCATCCCTGGAAGGTTGACCAACTCTCTTTTGAGTTGCACATCAAGAGCTGCAGGAGAGGGCTGGAGAGATGGCTCAGTGGTGCTCAGTGGTCTAAAAGCACCTACTTGGAACAAGCTTGGCAAAGCACAGGGACCGCGGTTCAATCCTCCAGTACCACATGCCAGCCAGCCCCGCCCACTGGTAGGCTGAGCTGGCCACACACACACACACACACACACACACACACACTAAATGTAAAATAAATAAATAAAATAAATTAAAAAAAAATGATGTAGCAAGGGAAATATTTAAAAAAAAAAAGAGCTGCAGGAGAGCAGGCAGTATCTGTTCAACATTTCCAATGTTGGAAAAAACTATCAGATTTAAAGCTTATGGCTTATGTTGTCTTGCCCCACTTTCCTTCCCTTCACCTGTTCTAGTGTGTACTTCCAGGAGAGTGGGAATTGTGTCAGCCATGGGCGGGTTGGTAGGTGTGGATGTGTTCTGGTTGATCAGTGCCCGCTGCCCCCACCTGGCTCGCTGCGCCCCGCGGAGGGTATGCAAGAACTCGCATTGTCCCCTAGGCAAGTAGGCACAGCTGGTTTGGCCCATGCTTTCTCGTCTGACTTTGCAAATGCCCAGGGTGTTCTGGGCCCTGGTGGTAGAGAGTCTGAGAGGCACCTGTGTGAGTTTGCTGGGTGAGAGAATGGGCACCTGCTGGCTTGGAACTGAGCCAGCATCTGGATCCCGAGCGCCACTGCTTTCTAGCTCTGTTGCCTTGGTATGGAGAACTGTTTTATCCTGTTAAAGTTGGGGAGGGTCCCGCCTGTCCTCATGTGTGGGAACAACATGGGGTTCAGCCTGTCTGCCTGAAGAAGTGGTTTTAAAAGTAAAATTAAACTGTCTTCACTTAAGAGTTTTGACACAGCATTTGGTCTGTCATTGCTTCTGTGACATCAGACCAACCCAGGGATGGGCCACAAACCCTTCCAGTTGAGAGTGTTAGAAACGATGCCTGGCAGTTAAGGAGGCCCTGGCTGTGCAGTGTCTGCTGGATTCCTTTCATTGCCTTTTTGTTTTGAAGATTGAAATTTTGTTTTAAAATTTGTTTGTTAACTACATCATTGGCTTGTGCTGTCATTGCAAAAATAAGAGGCTTTTGCCCTCCTATGTCTTTTTAGGAGGCGTGATATGCACCTTCATTTTGTAAGAATATCAGTGGTACCAGGTTTGCCAATGCATGCTTGCTTGTACATTGGGAAATAATTCTGAATAATTTACTGAGAGTATTTTGTGATTGGGGCCGCTTATCTCTCTACAGACATGACGCAAATCCGCGTAAAATGCAGTTCATTTAATAAAAACTGGCAGTCTGAAGTACCTATTTTAAAAATGTGTGCTTATGGCATAAAACTTAAAAGACACCAAAGGGTGTGTTGCAATGCAGTTTTCCTTTCTGCCTCGTTCCTTAGCTTACCAATTCCTTCCTACGAGGGCAGCTGCTTCTATCTTCTTAAAATTAAAATCTGTGTTCAGTGATGGCTTGTGGTTTGCGGTGGTGAGGCGCCAGGCAGGGGTGGCCTGGCCAGTGCACACGCGCCCATGTGGGCAGACCCGGGCGGTGCCCCCGTGGTGGCGAGACCCGGCCGCCTGCGGTCGGCGGGCACCAGCGCTTGTGCGGCCTTTGAGTTTCTGGATCTCCAAGTCTGTGTTCTTTGCATTTTCCAGCTGCAGCATGAGAAAGCTGAACTGGAACAGCATCTGGAACAGGAGCAGGAATTTCAGGTCAACAAACTGATGAAGAAAATAAAAAAGCTGGAGAATGATACCATCTCTAAGCAGCTCACATTGGAGCAGGTAAGCTTTGCTGGCTGCCCGTCCAGCTTTGCGTTTCCATGGTCAGCTGGCGCCTTCCAGCTCATGTATACTGGAGAGTGAGGAAGAACCGCCGTGCTCAGCTCCTCTTCCCAGTGGAGGCTTCATTTCCGAAGTATTTGCAGGTCTGCGTCGACCCAGCTCACAGATACCCCACCTGCCCTGGCCCTCTGGCTGGGCACAGTCAAGTTCCAGGAAATATGTGGTGATATTCTGATTTATAGCGGGAAATGTCAGGTTCCTTTTTTGCAAAGCAAAGTGGGAAGAAGGTTTTTAACCACAGGATTGTTTCTGTGAAAGTTCCTGAGAGTGTTGCTCCAGAGCTAAAAGGTTTCTTTCAGCTTTCTGAATTATTAACAACTTCATGTACGCGCTGTTTTCTCCCAGCTGAATTTGTTGATGCCGACATGGAATAATAGACTTGGTAGTGCACACTGGGTCAGGTGCAGATGACTTGTATGATCTTGAATTCATTAAATTCTGTTTGATAGCAGCAAGACAGACTGCAGACCCAGACGGCCAGCTCGGAGGCACAATGGGTGGACGGTGAGGGTGCACAGCTCTCCTGCCAGTCACCCTCGGCAGACCCTGGTGCCGACCCGAAACGTGCTTTCAGAGTCCCTACTGGCCTTTTGTCGTCTTCTGCCACACAGGACTGCGGGCAGCCGCTCCACATCTTTCACACGGGTGCCTGAGACCTGAATCCCTGGCACCCTTGGCACATCCTCTTGTGCCTTTCCCCACTCTGGACTCTTGAAATTGTGTTGTCCCAAGATGAATTTTGAGACACTGTCTTCAGCGTAGGGTGACTTGGGTTTCCATGAAAAAGCCAGTGGCTTCCCTACTATGACTCGGGTTTTGTGTCCGATTCTGAGTGCCCTTGGGGTACCTCAGCTGCGCTTGGGAGCACTGTAGATTGCGTGTGTCTGAGCCCATGCCCGCCAGGTCTGCGGTCACTCTCCGGATTCTTTTAGTTTTCACATTTTACCTGAGAGTGGAACTCCTAGGACTGAGTGAGTTGAGAAGAAGCTGGGTTTATTTTAAATTAAAACTAACTTTGCTTTTTGCTGTGGCTGTTACTCTTGTATCTACCTGTATCAAAGTGAGGGTCTCTCTCTCTCTCCCTCTCCCTCTCCTCTTTCCCTCTCTCCTTCTCTCCCTTTCTCCCTCTCTCCCTCTCTCCCTCTCTCCCTTCCCCCTCCCCCTCCCCCTCTGTCCCTCAGTGTGTGTGTGTCTTTATCTTTTTCTCTGTGTATGTGCATATGAGAGAGAGAGACACTAATCTATTTTCCACTTAACTTTCAAATTTAGATGCACTGTCTAAAAGACTTCCTGAACCCCTAGCTTAAAAATATTTTTTAGTAAAGCTCACCTGCTTGCATCCCAGGGTGGCTGTAGCTCCTCTTCTGTGAAAGCTGCGAGGACTCCAGCACTCACTGTCAGGACTTGTTATTGGCACTCGTTGTAAGAGCCTGTCTGGCAGCCGCCCACAGGCTTGGTGCGGTGAGGCCTTGCTGCTGTGGTCTCCAAGACCTGGTTGTGAGTCCTTGCAGCCTCTCTGTTCTGTTGCTTCCCGTGCTGCTCAGGAGACAGGCCCTGTGGCTGGGAGACCGCCTCTTGGCTGGGACCTCCAGGTGGGGGTAGTGAGCCAAGGCCCCTGCCCTCCCCTTCCCCCAGGGGCAGGAGGGCCCCCACTGCCCTAGCCTCTTAAGATGCTTTGGGGACTCAGTAACTGCACCCCTCCACATGAAGGCCCAGGTAGTGTTTTCTCTACCAAGTTAATGAATTAGTGAACTTGCAGCTTATTTCAGGTCTTGGCAAAGCAAGATTTCCAGAATAGCAAACTATTTCCAGATTTCTAGAGAAATAGGTGGTTTGCAAAGCATCTTACAAGAAGTAAACCTCAGATTCAGCGTGTCAAGTCCTTACTTTAATTAAAATGGAGAAAGTGACGATGTCAACCACCTCCCCACACTTCAAATGTGTCCAAGGTGATTTAGTGTTGGAAATCTTATGGTGTATTTTGTGGAACTACAAATAATTTTAGCCTGTATTTATGAGGAATGTATGGGATTTATTTTTTCCAGTAGAAATAAATCTTTTCTAAGTTTCCAGGGATAAGATCTAACCAGCTCTGGTTTTTAGGGCTTATCATGTGCATTATATGATATATGTTATAGTCCATGTTACATGACTTGGTATATGTTGTGTTCTATGCTTTACCCTATATATTAACAGAGGAGCAAAGACATACAGTACACTGTACATTACAGTGCCATTGTCTGTGCCTTTGATTTTGGGCAGAGGTAGACTGTTGGGGTCCGCACCCAGGGGCACTCTGCCTTTGGGCTACATCCCCAGCCCAGTTTAGTTTATTTCAAGACTGGGGCTCAGTAAGCTGCCCAGCCTTGAGTCAAGTCAGCTGTCCTCCCATCTCAGCCTCCTGAGGAGCAGATTACAGGTGTGTGCCCCCACCCCTGTTTCAAACCCATTCTTCGAACTGTAAGCTGTCTGAGGACAGTCACGCTTTGTCCTGTGCCACCACAGCTGCTCTGCGGCTTTATCAGGACAGTGGAGAGAGGCTTCAGGTATGAGGCTGAGGACAGTTACTTGTCTTTTCAGAGGGAGCACAGGTGTGCAGGACCTGGGCACTGACAGGAGGCCGCTGTGAGTCTACTGGTATCTCCTCTGCCTAGCGCTTTAAGGAGGCCCCTCCCTCCCTCCCTCCCTCCCTCCTTCTCTCCCATCTCTTCCCTCCTCTACATCCTCTTCTCCCCCCTACCCCCCCATATAATCACCCATTTGAAGCAGGCAATTCAACCCTACTATTCATAGTTGTTCAGCTGTCACTATAATTCATTTTAGAACCTCCCAGGTCCTCAGAATGAAGCCGTGACATGCCTATTTCTCTTAAGCAAGTGCTGCTCTGCTTTCTCTTAGTGCAGTGTGGACATTTCACCTAATAGGACTGTCTGGTGTGTGCTCTTCTGTGACTCGCTTCCTGTCCCCGTGCACCTGTCCTTCTTCTGGCCAAATCACTTCCCATGGTATGACTGCACCACATCTTAGTATTCATCCCCATCCACTTTGTGTGGATGTTACGTTTTCCTTTTCTCCTAAGCATGCACCTAGGAATCAAATTGCTTGTTTACATGAGAATTGTATAAAATTGTACAAAAAATAATTTAAAAGCGGTATATATTTTCCATGTAGTGAGTTGAACCTGCAGAAAAGCTATTGGCAGGCCTTGTGTCAGAAGTCTGCTGACCCTACTGTACTTGACTTGAAGGTGTGTGTGGGTTGGCTTACCTTGGAAGTACCCCGTCCTCCATAAGCCAGGCTGACTGGCTTGGAGACTTGGGGTCCTTCCTCAGGGCCCAGCAGCCATGTGTAAACGGCCTTTGCTATCAGCCATGCTGACGTCAGGCCTCCCCGTAGATGATTTCTTTAGTGTTACTTCTTAGAGGAGAACCCAAGGTCATTCTTCCACCTAGGGGTGTGAACGGCTGACCAGTGAGGTCTGTGGCTGCCAGTGTCTCTTGATCTCAGTGTTTTGGAGCACGTTGGTGTGGCAGCTTGATGCAGGAAGGCAGCCCTGGCCCTCAGTCCTGGTGGGGAAGTTGTGAGGGCTGTACTCTGCTCCCGAATTTGGGACGGGGAGGCTGGATGGGACTTGCTTCTCTGTGGCAAAACTGGCCTGTAGATGCCTCACCCAGGGTCATTCCTTTTTCAAAAATGGAAAGCCAGAGGAGGGTTCACGTCCTGTAGCCCGTGAGCGGCAGATGTGGGCCTCGGGCTGGCCTGGTTCTGTCCAGGGGTGCAGGTGGAGCTTAGTCTCATGTGAAGAGAGGCAGCAGTGTGTGTCTACTTTCAGCAGTCCTGCGTCTTTCCGGTCCAGACAGTCTGCCTTAGTTCCTGATCATTTGTTTTGGTTGGTGTTTAGGACTCGGGTAGCATTCTAAGTGCTTTATGCCAGACAGCTTGAAGCAGACGCAAAAGAGCACAGTGAGAGTGATGTCAGGTTGTGAGCTCTTGCAGCACGGGTGGAAAAATGAGATTAGTTCATTACTCCACGTGCCTGTTGCATCGTTAGCAGCTTTAAAGATAAACGCTAGTGACCATTGCCTGTGCTGCAGACCCTTACATGATAGTTGTCACTGAAGCACGTGGCCACTGGAAGTCTTTTTTTGGTGTTCATGTTTTCTTAGGTTATAGTAAAGAGCTTATAAGAACCTGAAATTTTCTTATCTGTGTCAAGAAATTTTGGTCAAGCTAACAGGTCCCCACTGGTTGGGAGCACATGTGTGACTATCCCATCATGCATAACTGTTCCATGCATGACTAACCCCTCCAGGTGGGACAGTCCTGTGTGTGCCACCAGTGGCCCAGACTGCCTGCTAGTGAGACTACAAGTGCCATCCCTGTCCTGAACATGGCGATGCTTTCTGCCGTGGGGAGCTTTTCTGAGCTTGCCAAGCGTTGCAAGGTGCGCGTTAGCTGTCTCACCTCGTGAATTTCAGCTCAACAGGATCTGGGGCCTCTGTGCACCTGCTGCAGATTGCCTCCTCGAGAACCCTGTGGTGTGGGTGCGCTGTGTCCCCAGAGGCTCATCGGCCGCAGTTGTGGTGCTTCGCATGGCAGCGCTGAGGGGCAGGGGACCTGGAGGAGGGCATTTGGTGCAGCGTGCGTCCTGGGGGGCTCTGCCCTTGGAGGCAAGTGGTGCTGAGCTGGGTCTTGGACTTTGAGCCTCCGAACAACTGTGAGCTAAATAAACTTACACTCTTTGTTTCTACCTTGCTCTGTACGTTTTGTTAGAGCAACAGAAAATTGACTCACTTGAGAAAGGATGAAACGAGGATCACGCTAAACACAGGCTAAACCTTAAATTATTATTTGATAATAAAGCCCTGTAGTAGTGGAGTGAGTCACTGGTGCCGTGTAGGTCAGCAGCCCATACGTGGTTACCAGGCTTGCCCGCCAGC